AATTCACTCCTGAGGATGACGTTGTAACGTCGAAACATGTAGAGTCATCAACTTTTTGAAGGCCACAGATAGGCCTAAATAAAATGTTATTAATTGTGTACCAGTTTAACGCTAAATATTATTTATGATTTTACCTTTGCAGCTTTGAATAAAGTATCTAGCAATAAAGAATGTAATTAAAAAAATTAAATATAACTATAAAAATGCCAACCGTTATACTTACAGTTTTCTCTGTATCATATCCAGCAAGAGGTTATCCATCTTTCTTGCGACCACAAAATAAAATGCCATTGAACCAAAATGTCTGGTCGATCTTAGTTCATTAAAGCTTCTGGTAGTGTCTATGTGTTGATAGGTTTTTTCAATGATCTACGAGAACAAAGTTAATCAATTTTTCATATGCTATTACATTTTATAACCTCACAAAAAGAGATTAAGAACATGGAAAATATATTAAGTTAATTACTAGGTTCTGATAATGTTTGAGTTTATTTCAAACTTTATCAAAAATTTAGCATCATAAGTTTGTGTGTTATTTTTAAATTCTAGTCAAATACTTTTTACATCTTTCTTAATGTGCTAAGGATTACAACTTGAAACACAATAATTATCAAGTTTAACAACAGTTTTAATAAACAAGATTAAATAATACTTGTGTAAAGGTTAACTGGCACCACAACATTAAAACACTTTGCAGAATAAAACTTTATTAAAAAAGAGCAGTTGAAATACTGTTGATATTTTCTAAATGTTTTGATGGTGGTTTACATTGCCATCTTCAGAAGCAAAGAGTTACAATGATAGACAATTTACATATCTTAAGAACAGCTGCACATAGATATAAACAAATTTTAAATAAGTTATATAACTAACCAACCTGTTACACTCTCTAAATGTATAAAATAGATTTCCAAAAATTAATTTCCATGATTCCCAGACCAAAATCTTTATTTACTAACTACAGTTTTTTTCATGACTTCTAAAGATTCACTAATATTAAATTCATTTTTGTGACCAGTCTGATAAACCAACAGAATATTATCGTGATTGATAGAATAAGTAATGTTCAACACATTCAGACAAAGCTAATATATAAACTTTACATTTATCTATGGTATTTTGCAATCTTTAACTATAAATTATAAATGTATACCTGTCTGATTACTGTAAACTAAACCACAGTTTCAGGGACTTTGTAGATACCACACTTATCATCCTGCTCTATTTTGTCTCTAACATCACTAATAAAATTTATTAATTACAATAAAGAGAAAATGTTACAATACAAGTCGCCCCATGTATAAGGGTTGGGTTAAAGCATGCATGTCATAACCTTTTACAGGATTACATTCAAATTTAATCCTACAACTTTATTGTTAGTGAATGTCAATAAACTTGAAAAAAAAAGTAGTTTATAACTCACAAAGACTAGCTGCTTTCTCTGTGTTTTTTTTTTTAGAACTTATATGTGCCAATCATAAAGATTTAACGTTGGAGTTGAATTTTTTAAAGTATGCCGTCATTGATACAGAATTTAATTTTAACATTGTAGACAAGACTTGCAAAAAGTCCCATAATAGGTCACAATGTACACACTTACATGTTTGGTTGAACATGTGGTGGGTAAAAATCTATCAATAGCTATAACATTTAGTTGGTTGATCAGACTAATTATAACAGAAAATTCAATATTAGAGAATCTTTGGAAATCATGAAACTGTTGTATCATTTTCAATAAAGATTTTGGTCTGGGTATCTTGGAAATTAATTTTTGGAAGTCTACTTTGTAAATGACTTAAGTTTTATTTGTATGCACACATATCTTGTATTCAATTTTTTTTTTTATTATAACACAGTGTAACTCGCTGTCAAAATACACAGAGAATGTCTAACAGGGCTTTATGCCCCCTTTCTTACTATATTTTATTGTGCATTTTGTTTCAATGTTGTGGTGTGGTTTTTGGTTTAATTAATGCTTTTAATTTTAAAATCCTTTTTTCAAGATTTTTAAGAAAAACCTAAAGACCAACTTACTTTAATATAGTCTGGATCATCAGGTTCAAACTGTAAACATGCTCTATCTAGTACAAATTCATACTTCTCTCTCTGCAGTAGATTCTGTAAGAGAACATGTTGAAAAGTTATTTCTCAGTAATTGTATGTGCAAAATGTTTCAATCTTTTAAACCTACAAGTTTAAGGAACATATGATTCTATTTTGTAATTACTCTATAACTTTACTCACTTATCAATAATCCTTTATAAGGGATAATGGAAATATTACATACCTACATTTCAACATTTACATAAAAAAAAATTAATAAATAAAATTCATGCCTGTCATGATATAAAAGACTGTTTGGTTTAAATATTGGTGATTAATTTATATTTGTGAGTGAATATTTTATTATTTTTAAGTTTTGTTTGTGTGAAAATACTTTTGAGGGAGTGGCAGACCTATTAATACATGAACAGTTCAAGACCACATGTTCAACTGACATGCCACTGTTTTTAAAGGAGAGAGCACCAAAAGATGTAGACAAGATGATCAAGCTGGCAGAACAGTATATGGAAGCCCATGGAAGTAGAATAACTGGCAAGTCCAAGAATGCCCAGATAAATTTGAAACCAGTAATGGCTGACCAGAAGCAGGAGTTTACCAAAGGTGACAGGAGGCTAATAGACCGAAGAGAAAAGAGATGTTATGTTTGTTATAAAATGGGGCACATTGCAAAAGAGTGCAGGTCCATTACCAGCAAACAACAGCAGAAACGTCAACATAAAGCAGCTGGAGCCGTTTACAAAGGCAATGCTGGTAGGAAACAAGAAAAAAAGTGATAGGCATTATGGATGCTGCTGCCAGAAAAAAGAGAATCAAGACTACTTGTCAAATTCAATACAAGAAAATGTGATTGATCAGTGCAAGACTCATGGTTGACTCAAATTAGCAAATGGATCAACAGTGCCAATAGTGATGGGAGCATGTGACAAATATCAAGAGGTGCCAACAAATCATAATATGCCAATATGTGAAGGCTATGTTGAGGACAATAAAGTGAAGGTTCTACGAGACACTGGGTGCAGGAGTGAGAACCAGTTTAGTATCCAATGATCAGATGAC